TATATTCCTGCCTTTGGACACCAAATCTTGGAGAGGCTCATTCTCTGCTATTGACTATACCACTGTCTTCCTAGAAATATCCTTCCTAAATTTTAAATCAATGTGATTGACATGGTGGAGTGAGAGCCCCCGGGGCTTTGGACACAATACCTGCAAGACTGAACAAGTCCAAGTCTGTTTTTCCATTTTTACCAGTGGTATGACCTTGTAGATGTCTGTGAATTTTGTTAAGTGAAAATCAGCATTTTTTTTTGGTAGCAGGAATTGAACCCATCTTGAGCTATGTCTCAATACCTTTTTTAAGATTTAGAGACAAGATCTTGCTAAGGCACGAAGTTGCCCAGACTGGCTGGAACTTGGGATCCTCCTGCCTCAGCTTCCCAGAATGCTGGAATTATGGATATACACTACTGTGTCTGTCTTGTTTTATTGCTACCCTTACACTGCCGTGTCTGTCTTGTTTTATTGCTATGCTTCAGGTAGCAATAAAACAAGACAGACAACCAGCAGTGTATATCCATAATTCCAGCATTCTGCAGCCTGGGCAACTTCATAAACATGGCAGATTTATGATGACCTTAACTCTGGAATCTGTTGCTGGTGCAATGGTTGATACATTGTATCAGCTTGAGAAGTCTAGAAGTTTAACTAAGTAACTCAGCAGGTCTGCATCCTAGGGTGTAGAGGACATATCTTTACCACTCTAGGATGTTATTCATTGTGTCAGTTTGAGAAATTTAGAAGTTTAGGTGACTCAGCAGGGGGCCAGGGTCCTCACTTTATAAACATCCTGAGCCTGTGCGGGAAAAGGGCGCAGAGATAGTGTGAGTGCTATATTCACCCCAGGGCAGGTATCCTCCTTATAATAGAAGGGAGGAAAAGAGGTTTGCAACCCTCTTGTGCTCTTGTTGCTTTTGCTGTCTTTTGCCCCCATGAACAGTTGCCATCTACCCTGCTTTGGAGTCATCTGATTATAGACTAAACCCTCTAAAAACTATAAGCTAAGCGGGTGCGGTGGCACAAGCCTGTAATCCCAGCACACAGGAGGCTGAGGCAGGAGGATCCTTGTGAGTTCAAGGCCAGCTTCGGCTACAAAGTAAGCTCAAGGCCAGCCTGAACTGCATAGTGAGACCACCCTATGTTTTTGTCTCAAAAACAAAAACAAAAACAAAAACAAAAAAACTATGAGCTAAATAAACCTTTCCTCCGTTAATTTTGGGTTTTGGGTATTTTGTCTCAGCCAGGAGAAAAAATTAACTAGCACAACTGGAAGGCCAGACCGTAAGCATATATTCACTTTGGTGTGGAAAGGCAGCTACAGCTGTGAACACTGGGTGGAATGGTGGGAGTGGAGCTCTAGTGCCATCTGGTGTTGAGATGAGCAGATGTTTCTGTGGTGGAGCTGGTCTCAGCCTGGGACCAGGAGGGCTCCTGCTGCCGTGGACAGTGTGCGTAGTGTGGCCATTTGCCTTGATTGGCCGTGTGAGTTCCCAGGCATTAGAGTGGATAGAGGCGGTCACTCAAAGAAGTCTTGGGTGCGTGGTGAACCTACCTTCCTGGCTTTGGATCCTCCTGTGCTCTGTGTTGTCTTTAGGTGGGGTGTGAAGAGCAGGTCGTGTCCCCGTGTGGGGCATCTCCTGTGCCTCATGGAGGTGCCGCTCTCCCTGCTTACCGCATCTTTGCTGCTCTTCCCTCTGGTGCCCTGACGTTGGCTGCCTCCTCTGTTAGCTGAATTTTATTTATTTTTTATTTTTATTTTATTTTTAAAATTTTTTTGTCTTTTGAGACAGGGTCTCCCTGTGCAGTTCAGGCTGGCCTAGAGCTCACTCTGTAGCCCAGGTTGGTCTCACGTTTGCAACAATCCTCCTACTTCAGCCTCCCAAGTGCTGGGATTACAGGCCTGTGCCGCCATGCCTAGCTAGCTGAATTTTAACCCTGGATGCTTCCTGTGATGCTTGATATAGTGACAGAGATGCTTAAAAAGGAGTGTGGCCTGATAGGAATTCTACATTAGATAAATACACCTTTCTTTTTATTTATTTATTTGTTTATTTTTTTTGAGACATCTCACTGTAGGTCAGGCTGGCCTTGAACACTCTGTGTTCACTCAAGGCCAACACTCAGGCTGGCCTTGAACACCCCCAGACTGACCTTGAACTTGTGGCAATCCTTTCTGCCTCAGCCTCTTTTTTTTCTGAGCTAAGGTCTCACTATGTAGTGCAAGCTGACCTTGAATTCACTGTGTATCCTGGGCTGGCCTCGAACTCACGTTAGTGCTCCTTCCTCAGTCTTCCGAGTGCTGGGATTACAGGTATGTGCCACCACACTTGACTACCTCAGCCTCTGCCTCTTCAGTGCTGGGATTGCAGGCATGCACCACTATGCCTGGCAACACTTTTATTCTTGTTGTAAAATTATGAAAAGCATGGGTGGTGCTGTGGTGCAGCTCTGTACTCAGTGCACTGGCTGAAGCTCCAGAATTCAGGGCCAGCCTGGGCAGCAGAGCAAGTCCCCATCTCTGGGGAAAAAGCAATAATGGGAAAGTAAGGTCTGCTCCATGTAGAAAAGGTTGCTGTATCAGAGCAAGAAAAACTAAGAGAACACTCAGCATTTGTAATTGTAACACATGTCTGTGCTGTGCTTTTTCCTTTTTTTGTACTGCTATTGAGCTGGACATGTGCCTGCGGTGTTAGAAGGTGGCATCCTACTTTTCTGTTGGCCTAAGTGCTGCTAATGGAGTGGCCCGTGCATTCTGTTGGTCAGTACAGTGACTGGCCCTGCTCCGCTGGGCGGAGCATGTCTGCTTTTGTTCAGGATCTCACAGATGCTGTTTCTGCACCGTCTCCTGCTTTGGGCATTGTATGTCCCTGTGATGCTGCTCCTGATCCAGGGTCTCGGAGCCATATGTCTCCACCAGTATGAGGGTCCCAGGGGTTATTGGCATTTCATTCTAGATTTTAGATGAAAAATTCTAAGTTAAGCCAGTGCTTTTTTTCTTTTATTAATTTGTTATTTACTTTTAAGCTCAGAAGTCATCAGCTTTGAAGAGATTTAACAAATAGTCACCTTCCCCCCTGTGCTTTAGTGTTTTAACACAGAATTACTCTACTTGGAATTTCCTGTGGTGTAGGAATGTGGTGTAGGATGAGGGGATTCTCTCTCTCCTTTCTTTGAGACAGGGTCTCACTGTGTAGTTCAGACTAGCTTTGAACTCATTGTATAGCCCAGACTGGCCTCAAACTCTTGCTGATTGGGTGACAGGTATGTGCCACCATACCTGGCTTTAGCACCATTCTTTGAACATTTTGCTTTTCTATCAATGTGCCATACTCTCTGAACACAGCTCATAGTGCTGCTTGGACCTGTGCTGCTGGTGCGGAGCAGAGTACAGTGTCTGGTCACAGCACAGAGAGAGTGGTGTGACTGGGGTCCTGAGTGGTGGTCTGTTTTCTAGGCAAGCACTTCTGGCAGCCCTTAGGTGCATCTGGGAGGTTGTCCCCTTCAGGGTTTCCTGTCACTGAGAGCTGTTTGTTAGCATGTGTAGGGCTCGTGTTATGACAGCAGGAGGAGCTTCTCCAGACACTTGTGCTTAGGGGGCGGTCCATGTTTCCTGTGGGTGTGACTGCGATGTGGGTTCTCCTGAACAGGAAGCAGCCTGGGACTCACAAGGACCTTTGTGTGCATGGTCGTGTCTATGCCCTTTCTGAATGTGTCTATTTTGCTTATTTGTATTTTTGGACTTCCTGATGTTCCTTTTTTTAATTGAGAAAAATATCAATGACCTACCTTCAAAGCAGCCTTAGATTCCTGTCTCACTTGGAAATGTACCTTGTGTGATTTTACTCAGGATGAGAGTTCAGTCAGATAAGTACAAGTGGTCTCTTCTGTGCAGGGAGAGGCGGGGCACAGGGCCTGGGAACGCCAATTCCTGGAGAGGGGGCAGGTTTAGGGGCATCATGGCCCCACATGAAGGTGTACAAAAAGGGGAGGCAGGTTCAGGTGCACTTTGCATGAACACTGGGACCAGCCGGGTGCAGCAGGAATCTGTCTGAGAAGTTTAGAAATGGGGGTGCTGAGCACCCAGCTGTGTCCTTCGGGGTGGTGGCATGGGGGAGGTGGACTGCTCTCTTCTCCAGGAAGTGGAAGAGTGTGGCTGTGGTTTCTGCCTGGCACTGTGTCTGTCCCAAGTATTGTGGTAGGTGCAACCCAGCAGGGCACCTGTGCTGCCCCAATGTATGCACACTTGACCCGAATGTCAGGTAGTGTGGTTGTACATGGTGCCCTGAGCAGGGGGTCACCCTCAGTGCGGAGCTGGCTCTGCCAAAGCCAGCTCATGGGCTAGACACAGGCAGGAGCTGTGAGCACAGTGATGAGGGATGGCCAAAGCAGGGCGAGAGAGGTGTGGGCTGGCAGCTCCAGCTCTGACTTTCTCTTACTCAGCTCACCTGTCGCAGGTCCCCTTGGAGGTTGTCCCGGTGCGCTTTTTGGGAGGCAGCCCCTTCCTTTCCCCTGCCTGCTTGCCCTTTGATCCTTCCTGATGTCCCTCGTGTCTGTGGTTTACTTTCTGTGAGTGGGTGAAGCCCTGAGAGGGCAGGGCCAGGCTCCAGTCACTCAGCCTGAGAGCTGGCTGTGCTGCGCTGGCCTAGGGTGGGGATGAACTCCTGTACCCCTCAGTGGGGCGGCTGTGTCACGGTGTGAGGTTGAGGGTGGGGAGGGATGACCAGGCTGCTGGGGCTGTGCATCCTGAGGCCAAGGACACCCGGGAAGAGGGAGGGCAAATGTGCAAGCTGCTGGGGGTGGGCACAGGTGACCAGCAGGCCCACGAGGGAAGAGGGGACCTGCGGCCTGAGAGCCTGGGAAGCCAGCTGCTGGGGCCCCAAATGGGCATCAGCCAGTAAGGGGCTGCGTGTGTGTACTGCGCGGGGAGGATGCCCTAAGGCCTGGGCCCGGGCTGCCGGGCAGTGGGCCCTTGCTGTGTCTGTGCTCCTCTCCCCTCACAGGTTTATCACGCGCCCTGACGTCAAGCAGAGGAAGATGGCTGGGTTCCTGGACTGGAGCCTCAGCACCTTGGCCCGCTCCTCCTTCCATACCATCGACGGGGTCATTGCCATGGACGGGACACTACAGGCCCTGGTAAGCACTGTGGGGACAGCATTGGGAGCATGGAGCAGCAGGGAGCAGTGCTGCCTAGAACACAGACGCTGACTGTCTGCGATTCCGTGCTGGAGTTGTGCAGTAGTGGGATTCGTTGACCCCACAGGACACAGGTTCTTTTCCACTGCTGTGGCTTGACTTGGTGAGTGCTCTAGCACAGGACGCTGCCAGGTTCTGTATTGCCACAAGAGGGCGGTGATGCCCATGGAGCCACAGCCAGCCCCTTTCGGGCAGGTTTCCCTCTGGTTGTGTCACAGTGGAATTTTGGAGCCAACCCTCTAATAAGGTAGATAGCTTGAAATCTGATGTTTAGATGTGTGGGTTCTGTGTTAAATGCAGGGCCTGGCACGCTCAGAACAGCTTGTGCCCACTGCCACCTTTACCAGTCCTCTGTCTTGCTTTTCTTTTGTTTTTGGTAGTTTTTTGAGACAGGGTCTTGCTATGTAGTCCATGCTGGCCTTGAAATCACTATGTAGCCCAGGCTGCCCTGGAGCTCATAGCAGTCCTCCTGCCTCTACCTCCAGATGCTGGGGTTACAGGCCCCCATGCCCAGCTCCTTGCTTATCTTTTGCAGTTCCTTTTTTTAAATTTTAAATTTTATTTATTATTTATTTATTTTTTGGTTTTGGTTTTTCTCCGGTACCGGGAACTGAACTCACGACCTTGCGCTTGCCAGGCAGGCGCTTTGCCGCTGAGCTAAATCCCCAGCCCCCAAATTTTAAATTTTAATTTTTTGAGACAGGGTCTTGCTGTGTAGTTCACGGTGGCCTTAGACTTACTGTGTGGCCCAGGCTGGCCTTGAACTTCTGGTGCTCCTCCTGGCTCAGCCTCCTGAGTGCTGGGCTTACAAGTGTGCGCCACCATGCACTTTCTTTTAGTGCCGAGGAGGAAAGGTCAAGTAAAGTTCCCTGAAGGGGCCAGGCCTGGGTGGCCGAGGACAGGAAGCTGTGGGCCAGTGTTCTTGGGGGCACAAGCTGCCCTCCAGGGCCCTGGCTTGTGGGCATCCTCTCTGCTCTCTCTCTGGTTGTGGTGACTTGAGAGCAGTGCTTACCTTTTCTGGAGCAGGGCCCCATGGAGTGTGTTTGAATGAGGTGCCTGTCTTTCTGTCTTTCTGTCCTCCTGCCTTGCTGCAGGGCTGGGTAGGGAACGGGTATGTGTGTATGGGGTGCTGCTCTGTGCATCCTGGTCATGTGTCCGCAGGGCGCGGACCCTGGAAGTGTGTTGGGAAGCATTCCTGACCTTCCACTGTCCTCATGGTACAAGGTCAGCCTTTAGAGGCAGTTGTTCTGCCACAGGTGTGTCCCCAGGGGTGCAACCTCACGTTACCTTGTGCCAGAACACGTGTGGCCATGCCCGCCACACAGCCCCTGCTCTGTGTTTGATGTCTGGATTTGCCTGTTCTGGACTTCCGAAGTAGGTAGAATCACCCAGTATGTGGCCTTTTGCATCTGGTTTCTTGAACTGAGAACTCTGCCCTTAAGGTCCATCCACCTTGTATTATATTTGTGCTTCATTTTTTTTTTATTTGAAATGATAACTAAGATTGAACCCATGGCTTTCATACGGAGCTGCATCCCCAGCCCTTTTATTTAAGGATATTTCTGAGTTGCTCAGATTGGACTCAAACTTGCAGTCTTCCTGCCTCAGCCTCCCAGAGTGTTGGGGTTATAGGCCTGAGCCACCATACCTGACATTTTACTTCTTTTTAAGGCCAAGTAATACTCCATTGCATGGCTGCTTTGGGCTTTTGTGAATAATGCTGCTTTCACAGAGAAGTTTTTGTTTGAACCTAGGTTTTTATTTCCCTTGGGTATATAACTATATAGCTGTGTACGCACACACACGTTTTGTGGTCCTGCTGATGGAACCCAGAACTTCCAGTGAGCTAGGCAAGTGCTCTACCACTGAGCTATACCCCAACCCCTACAAATGGTTTTTTTAAAACAATATTTTATTTCTAAGATTTTTTAAACAGTGTGGCTGCACGCCTGTCACACTGATGAAATATGGGCTTCCTGCTTGTGCCAGGCAGTTTTTGGGTTTGCAAGTACAGGTGCCCTCGGAGGCTCTTGTTCCAGCTCTGTGTGGGGTGCTGCCTGAGGAGGATGTGATTATGGCTCACAGTTTAATTGCCACAGTGGAGGTCAGTACAGACTGGGCCAACCTGAGGGGCCCTGGGGGCAGGGCTGAGGGCATGCTCAGGTGCCCTCCATGTCATCAGTCCATGCATCCTAGGGATGCCATGCATTTGTAACCTTGGTCATTCTGGTAAATACTGGTAGGTTGAGATAGTTAAACTGAAGGTTGAACTCTTTAAGATTTTGGCGTGAGTTTTGCTGAAAAGCCTGAGGTCAGGAGCACAAATGGAAGGTATGACAAAACATAGCCCAGCTGTTGCTCCACAGTGGCTCAGCCAGACCTGCCTGTTGTGTGGGTGCTGCCTGGGTCAGCGGCTGACCTCAGGCGAGGTGTGTGGCCACCTCTGCCCAGGCAGCCACTTGCCTTCTGGAGGGGATCCTGGCATCCCCACAGCAGCTCCTCCAGCCTAGCCCTAGAGTTGCCCTCCACACTCTGCCCTGGCCTCCCCAAGGCTGCACAGAGGTCTGGGGCCAGCAGGGTCAGAGGTTTCCTTGACAACAGCCTGGAGCCCATGTGACTGCCCAGGGGCCCACAGGCAAGTGGAGCTCGTGGGGCCCCTGCCTGGGCTGAGGGCGAGAGAGGTGGGGTGCCTTCAGTGTCAGCTGCCTCCCAGGGTGTGGCAGTGCCTGCTGGCCAGCATCCCTGGCTCATCCCCTCGGGTCTCAGTGCCCTTCTCAGTGGGGTTATGGGGCTGCATCTTGTTTGACTCTGCCTGCAGCTGCTTTGCTTCCTTCATGAGCAGCACAGTGCTTGTTCCTAGATGGTTCCCAGACTTCCTGTTTCTGCCTCCCAAATGGGGGCCAGAACCAAACTTAGATTGTGCTTGGACATGGAGGACAGGCAGGTTCGCTGCCCTGGCCCTGCCACCTGTGTACTTGGGTTGGGATCCCTTTCAATGGAGTTAAACTAGCAGGCATGGGGAGGTGCTGTTTATTAGGTGCTGTTTTCAAGATTCATATTCAGAAGGAGAGAAGTTCTCTTTTCCCTGTTCCTCTTGAGGTATAAAAAGGTTTCCCAAAGGCTTAGAAAAGCTGAGCCTTCCACCACCCAGCTGGGCATGTGTTGGCAAGGGATGAGGAAGATGCTGTTCATCGTGCCGTTGGGGCAGAGCATTTCTGCAGTTTGGCAACAGCTCCACCACTTTATCTGGAGAGATTTGCCCAGAGCGATGGTGAGCAATTGTCTGACGCAGCCAGCTGAAATCCTGGGAAGTGAATGAATGAAACCACCATGAAGCAACAGCCCTGGCTGTTGCTTCCCACAGTTCCCAGTGCCAGGCAAATCCCTCCGAGAGCCTCCTGGGGCCCCTGCCACTCCTGGGAAGTCACAAGTCTTCCAGAGCCTTGCCTGGGTTTCCTTTCTCCTGTGGAGGGTCAGTCAGGTTGGATCAAGGCTTGAGGGCAAGAGGAAATTGTGCTGAGCAGGCGGAGCAGTTTCACCATGGGCTCGTAAGACCTGAAGGCAGAGGGCTGGGTGCCCTGTGCATGACGAAACTTGCAGGTGCATTGTGCTGGGTGATCACATGCTTCCTTTGATGCACTTGGCTTCGTTTTTATCCACCTGTTCATTAGTGTGGGTTAGGCGAAACAGGTGAACTCCGAACAAGTCCTGTCGAAACTAGGATTTTATTTCCCTGGAAGCCTCATCTTCCATAGTCCTCCCTCAGTGATAACTTTTAACACTTGTGGGAGGGAAACCAGTGTTTAGCAGCTTTGTTTCACGGAGGCCCCTTTTACTCTCACTTTGTAGGGCACTTGGTTTAGTCCCACTTTGAGCATGAGGATTCATGCAAATTGAGGCACTGTGAGGAAGGAAAACACCATCAAAAATAAACGTTGTTGTTTAAATATGCTGTATCTTTGTCTGTGTCTGTGTGCTGACTGAGAGTTGTGCCATCGTGGGGTTTGCCTTGCAGCTGTGAGGGCCCTGGCCACTGTGTTCCCTGGGGTGGCTGGGGATGGGGCAGGAACAGATGCTGCCAAAGGAGGGCAGCTGGTGGTGGCTTAATGGCAATAAAACAGTTTTCTGTTTACCACCTGTTTGGATTGCATCTTCTCTTCACCTGAAGTGCCTTTCTTTTATTGTTGACAGAAGCAGGCACAGCTGGCATTAGAAGCCAGGAAAGCCTGGGACAATCAGTGCCCACAGACTGGCCCTACCCTATTGTGTGGGCCTCTGCAAAGACATGTGTTGAAGCTTCTCAGCTTCCTCGTGTGGTTGAAGGAATAAAGGGAGTCATGGGTCCAGTTAGGGGTGGCTGTTGCCAGGGTACCTGCTTGAGCAGGTAGGAGTGGCCAGCAGTGTGGTGTGCATCTTGGACTGGATATGTGTCTGCTGACTCAGGGACACAGGCTTGATGGGATTTCTGACTGGCGTATATTGGTGCTGCCCAGCCCTCTGCTGGCCCTGGGAGGTCACCGAGGGGCCTGTGTCAGTTCTGCCTCGCCCTGCAGAAGCTGCCCAAGGCACTGTCTTGCCTTTGGCTCCAGATGCGTGCTAGCCACACCTTGGTTCCATCTCTCTGAGGAAGTACCTTGGCCCAGTCGTGCCATTTGGATAGGAAGTGACAAACCTCTGTGGCCCCACTGGAAGGCAGAGGCTAAGTACGTGTCATACTCTTTGAGACCAAGAAGCTGGTCTGTCATCAGGGTGTTTCCTACCTGGTCTGATGGCTCCTTAAGAGGGCTCCTGGGGGTTCTGCTTCCCAGTCTTGCTCAGGCTTGGTGTGGCCTGGGGCATATTGTGCAAGTGGCCCCATTCAGTTGTGGGGTTTGGCAGGATTTTGGGCAGAGTGTGGGGTGAGAGTGTTAGGAATGTGTTGGAGATGTGGCCCCGTGGTT